TTGAAGCAATTCCGGTTAATAATGTCGCTAAAATCATCAAAATACTGAATATCGGGATGTACCATTATATGGGAGCTATACGAAGACGTGGACCTGCACAAAAATTTTTGTCATAGGCTGTAGCACCCATTAGAATTTTTCAGTACGACCTTTGAAACGATTCCGGTGAAAAATGTCGCTGAAATTATGAAAATACCGAATATCGGGAGCTACCGTTATATGGAGGCAATACGAAAACGTGGATCGACATGGCCCATTTAAGAACTTAACCTGGTAAACTATGCATGTATGCAAAATTTTAGCCTTCTATCGCAATTCGTTCGAAAGCGTGATTACAACAGACAGACAGGCGGACAGCCAGACTGACAGCCAGACGGAGGGACATCGATAGATCGTCTTAGAATTTTACGTTGATCCAGAATATATATACTTTGTAGGGTCTATTATAAATATTTCGAGGAGTTACAATCGGAATGACAAAGTTAATATACCCTCCATAGAATGGTGGAGGGTATAACAATAGAAAATCCCCAATTGTGCCTCGAATAGAATAAATAATCCACAGTGTCTTTATATAATCCTATAATCCTTTAAGAAATATTCTTAAAAATTCCTTATTTTGACTCTAATAGACCTTCAAAAAATGTTCTTAAAAATCCATGATTGAAGCTCATAAAATGCGAAATGAGCATACGATTATCTCCAAACTTGGCACACCCCATCAAAAAATGTTCTTAAAAATCGACGATTATGGTTTTTAATGATCTTCAAAGAAATATTCATAAACCAGTAAAGAAAGTCTTAAAGTCGGGCGGGGCCGACTTTATGATACCCTACACCACTTTGCTAATTTAGTAGAGCTCCGCATAACAATTAAAAGTTTTTATGGGAGAATTCAATCATTCAATCATACTATGATTATAATTATAATTTAAAGTTCAAAGGACTAAATATGCCGAAGCATTTGTATATTTTTAATTCGGATTTGTATTGCCCATTTGGTGCAAAATTAATTTGAAATCATATAAAGATATATATTTGGGAGCTATATCCAAATCGGAACCGATCTCAATAAAACTTGGCAAAGATATTTCTGAGCTGTATTTGATAAATTTCCCTGAATATCGTTGTTACGGAGCGCATATTACGGCTGTGGGTAACAAATATGACAAATCGGATGAACAATATATATAGGAGTTATGGCTATATCTGAACCGATCTTCACCAAATTTTGCATACTACCTTCTAGACTCAATTCGGTCGTATGTGCCAAATTCCATCCCATTTGGGCGAATATTAGACGTTTGGTGCACAATCAAAGGTAAATCGGACGAAGTTATATATGGGAGCTATATGCAAATCTGAACTGATCTCGATAAAATTAAGCAAATGTATTTCTGAGCTGTATTTGATATATTTCCCCAAATATTGTTGTTACAGAGTGCATATTATGGCTGCGGAGGACAAAAATAACAAATCGGATGAACAATATATATGGGAGCTATGGCTATATCTGAACCGATTTCGATCAAATTTGACATACTTATTTTCAAGCCTAATTTGGTTGTATGTGCAAAATTCCATACTATTCGGGCTGATATTATACGTTTGGTGCACAATAAAAGGCAAATCGGACGAAGATATATATGGGAGCTATACCTAAATTTTTACCGATTATCTCCAATTTCAATAGGGTTCGTCCTTGGTCCAAACAAATGTTGTTTGGAAAATTTCATCTCAATCGGACAATAAATGCGACCTGCATTTTTGTTCACAAGAATACATGGACAGACGGGCGGACGGACAGAGGGACTGACATGCATAAATCAACTCAGAAAGTGATTCTATGGAGATCCTCAAAAGTAAATATGGGTCTACCTCACTTCCTTCTCCATGTTACAAACAAATGCACAAAGACATAATACCCTTACCACTATGTGGTGTAGGGTATAAAAAACACGAATTATAGTTCAAAAACCTGATTCCTAAAAATGTCTCTAAAAATCCACGGCTATATCTCTAGGAGTCCTTTAAAACTACTCTTAACAAATCCACGCCCGTGGTCCTAGAAGTCCTTTAAAAATACTCCTAAAAAATCCACGCCTATGTTTCTAGGAGTCCTTATCTAACAAAAAAAATCCATGGTCGTTTTTTGAAGAAGGATAGGAATAGAGCATCCTCTCCTGGAGGAGAAAAATTCTAAAAAATAAGTTGAAAAATATTCTAAAAAATCCAGAATTTAGACTGTTAAAGTTATTTAATGAAGAAAATTAGTATCTAATAATCCATAAAAAATACGAAAATAATCCAGGATTATGAAATCATTAGCCCTTTGAAAAATATTTCTAAAGAGCCATTCACGATGGCTCTAATAATCCTCTGAAAATTATTCTCAAAAAATAATTGATTAAAGTTCCATTAGAACATTATAAAAATCTACGATTTGTGCTCTGATAGTCCTTTCAAAAAAATATTAAAATATCAACGATTACACTGTGCAACAAAAAAAATAATAACGGAGCATATCCAGCAGATGACGAAATAAAGGCGAAACATTGAAAACACGTGTATCGTCGTTTTGGAAATTTATATCGCTCGTAGCCTAAGAAGAGGGGGGCAAGCAATGCCTCACCTCCTGAATTTATTTTTTTTTTTTTTAATTGTCGGATTAAGATTCTGTGGATTCTGTTGGTCTTAGGCATATAGTGCCTTTGGCAATATTTTGCAGATAAAAACACGAGGAGTCAACAAAGGGGTGTTATTGGTCTTTTGAAAGTACGATTAAAACCCACTTTAAACGAGATCGTAGCATGTCAAAATTTTCCACAAAATTCATTCTCATAAAATTCTACCAGGGTGAGATAAATTAATGAATAAAAGCAAAAAATGTCGGAAATATCATCAAATTTTAGAATAAGTTTAGATTTGTTCGAATTGGTCACCATTGGCGCGGATTATGGCCTTCAATCGGCCAATGAAACGCTTCACACGCTGCCCGAATGTTGCTCTGCGGTATTTTGGCCCACTTCCGGCGAAGCGCTAGCTTGAGGTGATCGACACTTTGGTATTTTTTTAAAGCCAACCTTGCATTCCAAAACACTCCAGACACAATACAGGGTGAGATAAAAAAACTGCAACTAACTTCAGACTGCTGTCATTTCCAAGCCACTCGTCCGACAGCTGTTAAAATTATTTCAGTGCCGCCTCATTATATTGTTTACAAGCGTACAAAAGCATTTTGGTGAGAATTTTTCAGAAAAAAAAAGTTATTCGTGATAGAATTCAAACGTGATAGCGTGATTTCTTTACATTTGGCGGGCGAACCACAAGTGGCTATCGTTAGAGCACTCCAGCATTTAAATGTGAATAAATCTTTTGTGTCCCGACGTCAAGGAAGTGGAAGTGGACGAAGAAAACAGCAACATCAACAGAAATGGTTTGAAAAGTAAAAAAACCCGCGTCGTAGTGGCCGAAAAATGACTCGTGATCTGAACATATCGCAATATTCCATTCGGAAAATATTGGAAAATGAGCTCGGGGTAAATCCATTGCCATTGAAATTCCAAAAAAGTGCAAGAACTTACACCGAAACAGAAATAAAATAGACTCAAAAGAGCTAAAGAGTTGCTTCGCTTGGCCGAAAGTAGGGAACTGCCGAATTTGGTTTTCTCCGATGAGAAAACATTCGTTGTCCAGCAGTTTGTAATCAAACGAAATGATCGTGTTTACTTGCCAAAGAGGTCAGCTGAAAATGTATGCCTTCTGTTGGCCACCAGAACTCAAGCGCCGGCCATGGTGATGGTGTGGGCCGCCATAACAGCCGATGGTCGCTCTCCGCTCGTATTAATCGAATAAATGCCAAATATTATCGCGAAAACATTCTTGAGGGCATATTAAAGCCTTGGACACGCAAACATTTTGGCCGCAGACCTTGGGCAAGAGGACTCAGCAACATTGCACTTAGCACGCGCCACCCAAGAATGGTTACAAAGTGAGGTTTCTCGCTTCATTTCCAGCGTCCATTGGCCATAAAAATCTCCGGATACCAATCCGTTGGACTATGGTGTCTGGAGTATTTTGGAATGCAAGGTTGGCACTAAAAAATACCAAAGTGTCGATCACCTCAAGCAAGCGCTTCGCCGGGAATGGGCCAAAATACCGCAGAGCAACATTCGGGCAACGTGTGACGGTTTCATCGCCCGTTTGAAGGTCATAATTCGTGCCAAAGGTGACCAATTCGAACAAATCTAAACTTTTTCTAAAATTTGATGCTATTGCCGACATTTTTTGTTTTCATTCAATAAAATTTAAAAAAATTAAAAAAAAATAAGAATTATGGCTTTTGATTTCGTTGCAGTTTTTTATCTCTCCTTAAAAATCTTCTAATTGAAGGCCTTTAAAAAATATTTTTAAAAAATCGACTTTGGGAAATCTTTATTTTTAAAAAAACCCATGGTTATTGCTCTATTGGGCTTTGAAAAAATATTCTTAAAATATCCACAATTATGGCTCCATTGTCCTTCAAAAATTTCACGACCACTTCTCGGATTCTCCTTTGAAGCAATGATATTAAATAATCCACTAGTATGATTTCAATAGTGTTTCTATGGCTTAAAAGTTCTAAGAAATACATTCAAAGAAATTCGGGGGCATTCTTTTGATAGTCCTTACAAATTTCATCCTTAGAATTTTCCATCCCTTTCATTTTTTCTTCTCATGATGACATTAGATAAATCAACCTTTCCCATGGTATGGGAATAAAGTTGATTTCCTGCAAATTCCGCATTGCTATTTGAAGAAAAAATGAACAATTACACTAAACTACGACGCAATAAACAAGCCATTAGATTTGATTTATTTGCAAACCTACCCTTAATACAACAGTTTTCGCCCCACCAACGCTGCTAAGGGTTGAATTCCAACAAACGACTATTTTCTTTTGAAGTCAAACTTATTTATTATTTATTATTTGTTTTACTTACATTGCAAATTAGAAAATGAACAAAAAAAAATTAACATTCACTTTATGTATAAAAAAGGGTTAATTAAAAGAAAATATTTCAAATCTCTTTCTTTGGCAGTTAAATTTCTTCGTCTTCCTCGTCTATTTGTCACGAAATGTAAAGATGGCATCGAAACCAAAGAGTACTCCATTCACAATGGCCAGCGATGCCTTGATCAGTGCCAAATCTCGTGTTCTGGTACGAAATGAATATTCCCAGGCTTCGATGACGAAGACGCCCGAAGCTATGAACAGAGCACAACCCATAATGCTGAAGAAGATGTCAATGCGTCGATGAATGTGGGCTCGCATCATGGCGCCTAAAAGTAGGCAATGAAATTCAAAAATTAGTTATAGATATTTTATAAAGCAATTATATCAATTGTGACTTAAATCAACAAAACTAATAAAGCTTTTATTTGATTAATTTTAAATTTCGAGTATCGCAGTGATGAAATTGATATTGAATTGGAATATATCTAATATTTACAGCGTATGATATGTGAGAATATTTAGTACTTACCCACAAATACTCCAACTAAAACAATGATGTATCCACTAAACGATCCCGTTGCCAACAGGGAGGTTGCTATGTCACGATCATCAAAGCTATAGTAGTGGAGCACCAAACAAGCTATCGCAAAGCCCTGGAAATATACATAAATAGAAATCTAATATTAAAGAAAAATCAACAATAAGATGTGGAGTCAATATCGGCAGGTTATAAATACACAGGTTGAGATGAAAAAACTGCAACCAACTTCAGACTACTGTCACTTCAAAGCCACTCGTCCGAAAGCTGTAAAAATTATTCCAGTGACAGCTCATTATATTTACAAGCGTACAAAAGCATTTTGGTGAGAATTCAAGCGTGATAGTATGATCTCCTGAAATTTTAGCTGGAAACCCTCAAGTGGCTATCGTTAGATCACTCCAGCATTTAAATGTGAATTAATCTTTTGTGTCTCGTACCATCGCTCTTTACCGTGATACTGGTAGCGTTGCCCGACGACAAGGAAATGGACGGAAGAAATAAACGGACAATAGCTGAGGGTATACATCTATCGGCAAAACCGACTGATAATTTTTAACATTGGGTTCTAGAGAAAATACAAAATTTAACTACCCAGTGGGAAAATGGAGAATGCATTACATTGATAATGAATAATTTCTTGCATTATATGATTTACATTACAGAATTTGTCTAAAATATTCGAGAAAAGAATGCAATTTGAGAAAAAAATGATTATAACATTATTGTTATGGAATGCATTATATTATTCATCCCAATAGAAGCGAAATGGTAATTTCATTTGACGAAATCTGCAAATTGATTACCGTCTATATTCCAGAATCTATACATGATGGAATGTGTAGTTTCATAGTTTTTTTTCTTGTTTTTTTTTTGGTGTCCCGTTATTTTCGGGCGACTTCATGTCGCGTTATTGTTGAAATTTGTAAATTTGTTTAGTTTTGTTTCATTTGTGTGACAGTGAAGACGTAAGTTTATAAAATGTATTGAAAGCGACATTGGAGGCGTTTAATATCACATAAAAATAAACGTTGTGCAAGTGCATCAAATGAAAATAATTTAATTTGTGCAAGTGAACAAAATATTTGTGTAGAAGAAATTCCTACTTTGAATATAGAAAACGAAGAAGAAGAAGCAAAAGAAAGTTTTGACAGCAGATTAACAAATTGGGCAGTGAAACATAATATATCTAGAGAGTGTTTTGATGACTTATTAAAAGTTTTATCTTCCGAAAGTCTGTCAGTTAATATGCCAGTGTCATCCAAATCCTTAATTAGAAACCAAACATGTACCCTTAGGACAGTGACACCTGGTTCATATCTGCACATTGGACTAAAAAATCAGCTGTTAAAACTCGAAAGTATAATAAAACATTGCGATAACATTTATTTAGATATAAATGTGGATGGAATTCCACTCTATAAATCTTCTAGTTTGGCACTATGGCCAATTTTGGCAAGAATTGCCGATAACCCGAGAGCTAAAGTTTTTCCAATTGGAATTTATTTAGGAACCATAAAGCCGTTTAGTGTAAATAGTTATTTACACGACTTTCTTAAGGAATTCAATGATTTAAAAGAAACTGGTCTTCAACTTGGAGAATTAAATATTTCTATAAAAATAAGAAGCTTTATCTGTGATGCTCCCGCACGCGCGTTCCTTTGTCAAACCGTTGGTCACAATGCCTTAGAGGGATGTTGCAAATGTACGCAAATAGGTAGGCGACTAGAAAATAGAACGGTTTTTAGTACGACAGTTGCATCTCCCCGAACTGATGAAGATTTTAAACATAGAAAAAATGTCAGTTTCCATAGACTAACTATGGATGCGACTTTAGGACTAAAGGATATTGGAATTGGTATGATAAGTCAATTCCCTTTAGATCCTATGCATCTCATTGATTTAGGTGTTGCAAAAAAAACTATAATCTTGCTTTTAGGTAACAAAACTAAAACTAAAATAAATCAGATCAAAAAAGATGAAATTTCGTTCAAATTAGCATCCCTTGTCCCATTTATAACTAGGGAGTTTTGTAGAAAACCTAGAGGTTTAAAGGAAGTACATCGTTGGAAAGCAACTGAATTTAGGCAGTTCATTTTATACACTGGAATAGTTATTTTGGCAGATATTGTTGACAACGATTTTTACTATCATTTTTGCTTATTACATTGTGCATATAGGATTCTGATAGCAGAACAAAGTTATCATAAATATTTAGACACAGCATCACAAATGATACAATACTATGTCGAATCCTTCCCAGTGATATTTGGCGAACATTATGTTTCGTACAATGTACATTCACTACTGCATCTTACGGAGTGTGTAAAAAAAGTAGGATTTTTGGGAAGTTTTTCAGCCTACGACTTTGAAAATTTTTTGCAGCACTTAAAACAACAAGTTAAGAGCCCCAGAAATATATTGCAGCAATTAAATAATAAAATTGTACATGATAATTATATAGACGATACTGAGGAGAGTGCAGTAAAATATGATAGAAAAGGAGTAATAACATCTCTAAATCTTCCAGGATTCTATTTAAGTTTGAAAAGTGCCGATAAATTTTGTTTTGTTAAATCTGGATTCGCAGTAGAAATAAAACATTTCTCTAATGACGAAAATAAACTCTTTATAGTTGGACATAAAATTTTGAATTGCACAAATTTTTATACGGAGCCGATGCAATCATTAGATATTGGAATATTTTTAAGCGAAGGATGCACTTGCACAACTGCTGAACAGTTTAACTGTGATGATATATTATATAAATTAATTCGATTGCCATACCAAAATAAATTTGTATTCCTCCCAATTCTCCATAAACAGAATTAAATTCTCAAGATTGATACCAAACCAAAACTTTTAAAATGTCTATAATAAAAAAACAATTTGTGTCACCTCTTGCACCCCAGAACGCAATACTTCAAACTGACGAAAATAAAAAATCAGGTAAAATACTTTAAATATATATACGTTAATAAATAAATAACATATTTCTTATATTATAGAATTGGCCCGAATAGAAAATATTGAGAAAAACGTTAAAATACTAAATGGTAAGTATTTTATTTCATAAACATTACATCATAAATAATTTTAAATATATATTTAAATCAACACTTTAATTTCATACTTTTGCAGATAAATTTGATACATGTATAAATGTACTGACCAAAATTGAAATAAAACTAGATACTCTATTGACACAGGATGCGAAAAAAATATACTTTCCCATACAAAATGAGGCAGATCTCCACAAAGTTGAGAAAAAAATTGGGGAAGACTTCGCTTCGTTTGTAAGTATTGAATAATATTAAAAAATGCTAATATGATTATTAACGACAAATTCTTTTTTTCCAGATTCCCATCATGGAAAGAATATTGTTTCCTTCTGGAGTTGTAAAAAACTTATGTAGAGTACTTTCCGAAGAATTGATTATGAACTATAACTTTGAAGGAATAAAAGGAAAAATGGCTTTTAAGTCCTTTGAAAATATAAATAAGTTAATGTATGGTAAGTAAAATTGTTCAAATTTTCTACATTAAATACTTTTAGAATATACATATTTATACATATATTATTTTTTGCAGAGGTGTCAAAGAGGGAAGGATACGACGAGAAGGAATATAAGAAGGATGTTAAAAAGGCATTCCATTTGATAAAATTAAGGCAGTTTAAGAAAACACATCTCGCTAAAAAACGTAGCGAGAAATAAGAATTTATTTAAACATAATCCAAAAATGAATTACATTTTATGTTTTTGTATGTATTCACAATGAGTTTGTTTGTTTATGTTTTTGTATTCTAAGAATACGTGCATATATTTATGAAATACATATAAACTATGATTATTTTTAAAAAAAATTTTTTTATTATATTTCAAATTAAAAGAACATAATTTTAATGTATTCTGGGGGAATGAATTATAAAACAAATGATAAAGTATTAATTATTTAATGCATTGGGATACATCAATTATATAATGTATACTTAAAAGATTGTCCAAAATGCATTATATAGATTGCATTATATTACGAATCGCTTAGGCAAACAAAAGGAATGCATTATTTTCCTAGGACATGGACCGTGTTAACAATAATGAATTCTGGAATGTATAAATCATAGTGTTTATGCATTACCTCTTCGTTTACCATACCTTCCATTTTCCCACTGGGTATAAATGAAAATGGAACTCAGAGAGAGAGAGAGAGAGAGAGAGAGAATACTAAGAATTATGAAGACAATATTCCCTTCATGTCTGTTTTGAATTTGTAGATCACATTTTTAAATTTCTTTTCTTTGGTTTTATAACTTTTCCGTAAATCATCACATAGAATATTTTAGAGTACTTCACGTTTGATAATAATATTCTGCCTTCAACTGTATTGTCGGAACCATTTTCTCAATTTATTATTGAGGATACCAGCATATGTGTTCTATATTTTTTATACCCTCCACCATTCTATGGAGGGTATATTAACTTTGTCATTCCGTTTGTAACTCCTCGAAATATTTATAATAGACCCTACAAAGTATTTATATTCCGGATCAGCGTAAAATTCTAAGACGATCTAGCGATGTCCGTATGGATGTCTGTCTGTCTGCCTGTCCGTCTGTCTGACTCTCTGTTGTAATCACGCTATCTTTGGAACGTATTGGGATATAAGGTTAAATTTTTGCATACATGCATAGTTTACTAGGAGGCAGGTTAATTGGCCACGTTTTCGTATAGCCCCCATATAACAGTACCTCCCGATATTCGGTATTTTCATGATTTTAGCGACATTATTTACCGGATTTATTTAAAATTTCGTATATGAAGTTCGTTATGGGTACTCCAGCCTATAACTAACAATTTTTTGGTGCAGGTCGACGTCTTCATATAGCCCCCATATATCGGTACCTCCCGATATTCGGTATTTTGACGATTTTAGCGACATTATTCACTGGAATTATTTCAAATTTGGTGTTAGAAGTTCGTAATAGATATTACAGCCTAAAACAGCCTATGACAAAAAATTGTCTGTGTTTTGTATGCATTTTGATGATTTTAGCGACATTATTCACCGGAATCGTATAAAATTTGGTATTTGAAGTTCGTAATGGATATTACTGCCTATGAGAGAAAATTGTCCGTATAGGTCCACGTCTTCGTATAGCCCTCATATAATGGTACCCCCGATATTCGTTGTTTAGATGATTTTAGCTACATTATTTACCGGAATTTGGCCAAATTTCGGATTTGAAGTTCGTAATGGATACTACAGCCTATGACAGAAAATTGTCTGAACAGGTCCACGTTTTATAACCCCCATGGTACCTCCCGATATTCGGTATTTTTATGATTTTAGCTACATTATAAACAGATTTTTTTCAAGTTTCGCATTTGAATATTGTAATAGCTTGTGACAAAAGTTGCCAGGTCGTCGTCGCATAGGCCTTAATAGAATTTTTAGCGGTTTTTTTTTTTTTTTTTTTTTTTTTTTTTTTTTTTTTTTTTGTTGAAAATTTGCCAAATTTGTACCAAATGTGGAGGGTATTCAAAGTTCGGCCGAACTTACAGCTTTTTTACTTGCTTTTTTTAATTTGGAATCCGATTGTTAAGGGATATAAATAATTGGTCTGATCCAGAACTGCAAGAATTTAAAATTTTTTACTACAATAACCGATTTTCCCTTTATGATATCCGAGAAAATTGCAAAACTAGTAGATTATTGCAGATTCTGGAACAGAGCAAATGTTCTCTTTTTAAATTCAAATGTACGAAGTCCCATGTTCAATTCGATTTGTAAAATTTTTGAATGGGTATACAAGAGAATATTCCATATTTTGATTAATCGTTTTGAGATTAATTTGATCGCCAATTTTATTGCACTCTGTAATTTAGCCTTAAAATCAAAATATTCTTTCAATTTTCACAATTTACCAATTCCAAAAATTTCACCACACCGATACGACCGCTACGATCACCGTGTGACATTTTCAATAATTTGTATTTTCTTTAAGTCCAATCAGCAACAAATTTATTAACAAAATTTAATTTCACTATTATTTATATTTTAACTATTTCAGAGTCACTCTATTTCCTTAATATCCATATCCTTTTCCGAGTACAGTTATTTTTAAATATTTGTGCTCTTTTCACATTGCTTCCTCAACCGGTCAAATGACTTTCACTGCAACAACAGACAACTTCCGTTATCAACGTTTCGATCATGGTGATCGTTGAACCGTAACTGACAGCAGCCATCGAATTCCAGGGCGGAAAATGTCCAATTCATCATTTCTGTTTTGACTGCATTATGCAAATAAATATCTGCAACAATCATGTATGTATGGGTGTGTGTGTGTGTTTTTTTTTCTGTCCACCAAACAATGACAGATGCATTGACCGACAAACGAAGAACCATCCACCCACCTATAATCGCTGGATTATTATGAAATTATGAATTTACCCCAAAAAAAAAAGTGGAAAAACAATGCAAAAACAATTAATTAATTACATGCAGAGCCAAAAGGAAATGAGCGCTCATAGCTCTGTGGTACTCAGCCGTCAAGTAATGTCTTCTTCGGTCATGCTGCGTTCAACTTGAAATTCAGATGAAACCAAATGCGTTTCGAAAAGGAAAGGGAATGATGTTTTCAACATGTCAACATGACCAGATTGAAACTTTGATCATAGCAGCGGAACCAGAATATAATGAGTGCCACAAGCAAGGGGGGAAAGCTCGATGTTTAGGGGCCTTCATAGGGGTGCGCTATCAGTTACATGGAGTTATTAGAAAATCATTTTGAATTTTTTTTTAACATGGACTTTACGCACAAAAATTCATATTTTTTCAAGAACTATCAAAACCAAAACCGTAGATTTTGAAGCATATATTTTGAAGACCATTGGAGAAATAATCATGGATTTTTAACTATTTTTAATCAAGGACCATTTCGGTCTTCATCGTACATTTTCTTTCTCAATTTATTTATTAAAAACCAGTAAAGAAAAGTCAAAAGTCGGTCGGAGCCGACTATATGATACCCTACAACACTATGTATATTTAGTAGAGCTCCAGTAACAAAAGAATTTATTTGAAGTAGATCATACCACCCCCCTCAATATTTGGCTTTAGAGCAGTTATAGTTTGATTTCAGAGGGAACTAATATATGGGAGGCATATCCAATTCTGAATCGATTTCAGTAAATCGTATGAAACGTATATATTGGACCTATAGCTTTATCTGCACCGATTTTCACCAAATTAAATGTACTACCTTTTAGACTGAATTCGATCGAATGTACCATTCAGGTCATTTGGACTGATATTGGCCATTTGGTGCACAATTAACAAGAAATCGGTTGAAGATATATATGGGAGCTATATCCAAATCGGAACCGATCTCGATAAAATTTGGCAAAGATATTTCTGAGCTGTATTTGATATATTTCCCTGAATATCGTTGTTATGGGGTGCATATTACGGCTGTGGGTAATAAATACAACAAATCGGATGAACAATATATATGGGAGCTATATGGAAATCTGAACCGATCTTTACCAAATTTGGCATACTAGCTTCTAGACTCAATTCTGTCGTAAGTGCCAAATTCCATCCCATTTGGACAAATATTAGACGTTTGGTGCACAATAAAAGGTAAATCGGACGAAGTTATATATGGGAGCTATATCCAAATCGGAACCGATCTCGATAAAATTTGGCAAAGATATTTCTGAGCTGTATTTGATATATTTTCCTGAATATCGTTGTTACGGAGTGCATATTACGGCTGCGGAGAACAAAAAAAAACAAATCGGATGAACAGTATATATGGGAGCTATACCGATCCGATCTGAACCGATCTTCACCAAATTTTGCATACTACATTCTAAAGTCAATTCGGTCGTAAGCGCCAAATTCCATCCCATTTGGGCAAATACTAGTAGACCTTTGGTACACAATAAAAGGTAAATCGGACGAAGTTATATATGGGAGCTATATCCAAATCCGAACCGATCTCGATAAAAATTGGCAAAGATATTTTTGAGCTGTATTTGATATATTTCCCTGAATATCGTTGTTACGGAGTGCATATTACGGCTGTGGGTAACAAATACAACAAATCGGATGAACAGTATATATGGGAGCTATAGCTATATCGGAACCGATCTTCACCAAATTTGACATACTAGCTTTTAGACTCAATTCGGTCGTAAGTGCCAAATTTCATCCCATTTGGGCAAAATACTAGCTAGACCTTTGGTACACAATAAAAGGTAAATCGGACGAAGTTATATATGGGAGCTATATCCAAATCCGAACCGATCTCGATAAAATTTGGCAAAGATATTTCTGAGCTGTATTTGATATATTTCCCTGAATATCGTTGTTACGGAGTGTATATTACGGCTGCGGAGGACAAAAATAACAAATCGGATGAACAATATACATGGGAGCTATAGCTATATCTGAACCGATTTCGATCAAATTTGGCATACTTATTTTCAGGTCCAATCTGATCGTACGTGCAAAATTCCATGCTATTCGGACTGATATTACACGTTTGGTGCACAATAAAAGGCAAATCGGACGAAGATATATATGGGAGCTATATCTAAATTTTGACCGACTATCACCAATTTCAATATGTTTCGTCCTTGGGCCAAACAAATATTGTTTGGAAAATTTCATCTGAATCGGATAATAAATGCGACCTGCATTTTGACCACAAGAATACATGGACAGACGGACGGACGGACTGACATGCATAAATCGACTCAGAAAGTGATTCTATGAAGATCCTCAAAAGTAACTATGGGTCTATCCCACTTCCTACTCCATGTTACAGACAAATGCACAAAGACATAATACCCTAACCACTATGTGGTGTAGAGTATAATAATCCTGAAAATAATCTCTGATAAAGACCCTTCACATTCAATGGGTTCCAAGAAACACTATTCGAATACCGCAATTTAAACCCCAACCTACACTAATGTAGAGCAACTACGATAACAATGAAGCATTGCGAAATAATGCAGATCTAGACGCTGGATTTTTTCCTAGAAAACTTACAAGTCAAATGGAGTCAGTCGGTAGTGGTAATGTCAGGTTATTTAAAAATAATTTGACTGGTCTTATGATTATTCAAACTATTGACCCTTCATGGAAGGGGTTCCGAAGGAGTGGGGCAATATTTTTTATATCGTATCTGACATAAGCCTGATAAAAATATTAAAATGTATCAGATTTGAATTTTATATCGACTACTTCCTTTCCTTTTTGAGTGACTCTTCATGGGAGCGGTTCCAATGGAGCCATATCGAATCTGACATAAGCGTAATAAAAATATATAAAATATATAACATCAGATTTGAATTTTATATCGATTCTATTATCAGTATTTGATAATTTTTCGAAAAGTTGTATGAGAGCTATAATTATTTAACATTTTGACCTGTTGTGGGTTAGGTACCAGAAGGGGTAGTCCGATATTGTCCATCTTCACAACAGATCTTGTGTTAATAGAAGAAGATGTGCCTAGTTCGAAAATAATCAGATGCTCATTTCACGTTTTATATGCTAAGTGGTAATTCCAAATTTTTGAGCCGTTGTATGTACTATGTACGTTCAATCCATTCTTCACACCTGACCTTGCGTTAGTGTAAATTTTTCAAATGTGCGAAAATTTATATAATCGGACTCTTAATTCGAATTTAATAAATGCTGTAATTATTCAAAATGTTGATCCTTTGTGAGGCAGGTACCAGAAAGAGTGATCCTATCTCTACCAACTTCACACCAGATCTTGCTTAAGTAGAAGAATTGCGATGTGCGAAATTTGAAAAGAATCGGATGCTCATTTCGCCTTTTACGAGCTTTATGGTTATTGAAAAATTGTATCCGTTGTGGGAGAGGTACCAGAAGGAGCATACGGATGTATGCCATCCTTACACGAGATCTTTTCTTAAAAAAAATATTGGGATGTGTGAAATTTGAAGACAACCGGACTCTTATTTCACATTTTATAAGAGTTATAATTATTTAAAATATTAACCCTTTGGGGGGAGGTTCTTGAAGGAGTGGGCCGATGTTATCTATTTTAACACCTGACCTAGCACTAGCAAAAATATTGGGATGTGCAAAGTTTGCACAAAATCTTAAAATTATTTTCTTTTAACATTTTTTCCTTATGTGAGAGAGGTACCGGAAGGAGTGGACCGATATTGCCCATCTCCGAACTCGATCTGAGTTTAACAATAATATTACGGTGTACCAAGTTTGAATCAAATCAGATGCTCCCTTCGAGAGTTATCGTGCTCACCAGCCAGACAGACGAACGGACATCTCTAGATCGACCCCAAATGTCCTGAAACGGATTTGGTTCAAAGAGACCTAGGGTCTAAAATCGTTATTTCGATGAGGCACGGTTTGGCCGTATCAAATGATATATATCCTTTGTGGCTGAGGGTGTAAAAAGGCGTTTTTTTACCCTCCACCATACATAGTATGGAGGGTATATTAAGTTCGTCATTCCGTTTGTAACTCAACAAAATAATAATTTTAGGTATTACAAGGCAATTTTAGGTATTACAAGGCATATTCTTGATCAGCGTAAAATTCTAAGAAGATTTAGCACTGCATGTCCGTCCGTCTGTTGTAATTTCGTTAGAGTCAAAACGAATAAAGAAAGGAAGCTAAAATTTTGCAAATATCAGTCTTTTGTCTACAGACAGGTCAAGTTCGGAGATGGGTTATATCGATCCACGATATCCTATATCCCCCATATAGCGGTACCCCCCGATATTTGGTATTTTGATGATTGTAGCCATTTTTTCTATGAAATTTCCTGAAAATCCACAAAAGAAATTCCTTCTGAGTTCTTTATACCCTGAAAGAGTATTGTCTTTATAGGTCCACGACATAGTATATCTCCCATATAATGGTACCCCCCGATATTCGGTATTTTAATGATTTTAGCCACATTTTTCAATTGAATTATCTAAAAATCCATAGCAGAAGTTCTTTCTAAGCACTTAACCCCCTGGAAGGAAAATGTCTATATAGGTCCACGATATCGTATGACCCATTTACAACTGTACCCACCGATATTCGATATTTTGACGATTTTAGGGACATTATTCACCGGACTTGTTTCAAAATTTCGTATTTAGAATTCGTAATAAGTACTTCTGTCTATGCCAGGTCCACGGTACGTCCCTATATTCGGTACTCTGTTGTTTTTAGCGACATAATTCACAGGAATTGTTTCAAATTTGGTATTTTAAGTTCGTAATGGATACTACAGCCTCATACAGAAAATTGTCTGTGCGGGTCCACGTCTTCTATATAACCCATATAACGGTTCCTCCCAATATTCGGTTTTTTAATGGTTTTAGCGTCATTTTTCACCGAAATTGTATCAAATTTGGTATTTGAAGTTCGTAATGGGATAGGTCCACGTCTTCGTATAGCCATCATATAACGGTACCTCCCAGTATTCAGTATTTTGATGGTTATTGTTTCTAATTACGTATTTAGAGTTCATAATGGGAACTACAGTCTGTGACAGAAAATTGTCTATGCTGGTCCAGGTCTTCGTATAGGCCTCATATATCAGATCCACCCAATATTTGGTATTGTGATGATTTTAGGTACAATATTCACCGAAATTGTTTGAAATTTCATATTTAAAGTTCCTAATAGGTATTACAGCTTGTGTCAGAAAATTTCCTATGCAGGTCCAGGTCTTCCTATAGCCCTGATATAACGGTACTTCCCTAAATTCGGTATTTTGAAGAATTTAGCTACATTAGTCCCCGGATTTTTTTTGTTTCATGTTTCGTATTTCAATGTTGCAACGGCTTATGACAAAAGTTGCCTATGCAGGTCCATGTCTTCGTATAGACGCCAATATAACGGCTACATTCGGTATTTTTAAGATATTAACAGAATTTTTATCGGATTTTGTTTTTGAGAATTGCAAAATTCGTTCCAAATATTGGAGGGTATTCAAAGTTTGGCCCGGTTGAACCATCTGCTTTTTTACTTGTTAAATATATTTTTATATACTTTTTAAGAACTGCCAGAGCCATAATCGTGAATTTTTTATATATGTTTTTGTAAGGACTATTCGAGCCATAATGGAGGATTTTTAGAGCCATGGCCGTAGCTTTTTTTAATTTAATTATTTTTTAATATATTTTTTTAAGATCTATCAGAGCCATAATCGCGGATAAAAATCCGCAGATTACCAGAGCCAAAATTTTGTATTTTTACAGAATATTTATTTTACATTTATTTATTCCAAATAGTCGGAAAAATCTTTAAAAAAGGCCCCATATATAACAACTTCCTTCTTTCGGGCGCCACTCTGCAACTGAAATCCCAACCTACACTAATGTAGAGCAACAACGACGACGACATCGACAACATAATTAAAATATGTAAAAATCCCATACCGAAATTCCATAAACCACTTGACGAACGATTAAGTGGTCAGAGGGAGGTATTTAAAAGAGTTAATGGCAATAAATGCAACGTCAATTCCACTTGCCGCCCTCAGCACCCAGTTCACTTTCCAAGAAATTCAAACGCATCATCATCGCTTCTGTTGGATGATAATCACTGCATTAAAATGCCAATTTATAATCAGATCAAATGTGGAGGAGATGACAATGATGGGAGCTAGTCGGACCTATTGACTTCTACATGGAAGTGTTTTGTGCGTACGTCATTGCGTGTGTGTGTGGTTCTTGCTAGCCCCCAAAAAAAGGAGGTTTTGAGAATTATGTTCCACTTTTCTAAGTGGAACTAGAACGCACATACAACAAGTGCCCATCTAGAGATGCTCTTAGGGCGAAGAGCAATTTGCAAATGAAAATTCTATTCCTAATTTGTAAGAGTCGAAATATTGGTATGTGTGTGTGGGTGCTCGACTTTTGAGGGTTCGCGTCGTAAACATAACCTAATTTTGCTCAAATTAATAATGAATGACAAACAAACAAACGAGTATAATAACAATGATTTTTGCACAATTAAAGTGCGTTTGGAGAACTCATTATCCACTTGCGGGTTATACGTTTCGGTACAGTGGAAATCAAATGAATTTAAAAATGATTTTTTTACAATAGATTCCAAGAGATTTTATGGGTATTTAACGCTCTAAAACATACATATATATATGGAGACAATAGTTCCTATTTAAAAAGTCCTTCAAACTCGCTCTGATAGTCTCTGAAAAATATTTTTTAAAGTCTACGAATATAGCCTTGTTGGTATTTAAAAATTGGTTATTGGTTATTTATAAATTAGTTGGTATTTAAAAATATTCCTAAAATAAATAACGATTATGGCCTTGGTATTCCTTGAAAAAATATATTTGAAAATCCCCTAATTATAGCTCTGATAGTCCTTGTGAATGAGAAAAGAAAACCAACCGAATGGTTTGGTTGTTGATTCAATTCTCGATCCGGCTTGAAGGATCAATGTTTAGATGAGAAAAGAAAACCAACCGAATGGGCTGGCTGTTGATTCAATTCTGTTTTTATTTAAAATATTTGTTCCTTACGTACTACTGAAACTAATCTAACTTAACCTAGTCGCAGCCACACAATTGTTCTTATCTATTCTAATATTGAATGGAGAACATTGCAGGGCTGCTTTACATTTCATTCAAGTGATCTTGTGCATCTACTGAGCGCATCGATATCTGTGCGTGTGGGTCATAACCTTTATTATCTGACACATTATCGTATGCGTCAGCGCACAAGATCACCGAATTCTTCATATGTGATATTTTATGGCGGCTGGGAAATATTTAATTTTAGAACATTTATTTTTTATTGCTACATTTTCCCAGCGCCTCAATCGCACTCAAAAGTATGTACAAAGTATTTTGTACATTCTCCCGGGCGGCTTAAATGTGTATGTTAATAGTGGACTGTATTTTTATAAAGTTGAATAAATGTATACTATAAAATATTTAAATATAAAAATATGAAAAGTAAACTAACTATATATGCTCAAACAATATAAATATTCAATTAAGTGACTGCTTCCAGGAAACGACTCCATTTCTTTGTCCAGTCCTTCTTGCAATTGCCACCACCTTTATCTGCCGGCTTCATTCTCCATACCGCATTAATAGTCCATCGACGCAGACCGCCATCATTCTTATCGGAAAGGATTATCATTGGCTCCATGGTACGCTCTGCTTTGTCGTCTTCTGTTTTCACGGCCATTGATGATTTGCTATTGATTCCGCTAAGGCCTTCAGGAACTGGAAACAGAGAACTTTGTTTGTTTTTTCCCACTTCTTCGATAAATTCATTTCCATACTCGTTGGAACTGACGGGACCTTCTGTGCGTAACTCCTTTATTCCTTTTCCTTTACTCCAATATAATTATATTTTTCGAGTTCTTCATTGTTCAGGGTGGAATTTTCTTCTTTTTCTTTCCGTTCCTCAAAATGAGGACTTGCCGGCGGGAAACACTTCACAATATTTCCTTCTAAACATCGAATCTGTTTTAGATTAACAGCATTATGTACCTTTCTTACACTTGCTAGTTGCTTGGACAGGTCATCTTTCTCAGCTTCCAAGACTCGTCGCGCTCTTTCCGAGCTAGCCAATTTTTCATTGACTTTCTTTAACTTCGTTTTTAGATGTCGCACTTGATCATTCTGAACTCGATGTTTTCCTTCGAATTGTTCATCTTTGGCCCGCAGGTTTTCTTCAGATTTGGCGAGCAGATATTTTTCGTGGGCCTTCGCATTTCTCAATATCTTTTCACTTTTTTCAACTTCGATTGTTAGTTGAGAACGCAGTTCGCTTGCTTGTCCCTGCAGAGATTGTAACTTGTTTTTATATGCTTGCATTTGTTCGTGCAAACCATCTTCTAATTCTCTGTCGTAATCTTCCTTTGTTTCGACATAGTTGAGTTGTCTGTTTTCTTCCATTTGCTCTTCCCAAGTTAAATGGTCATATTTCAGCGAGAGTATCCATCGTGATGGAGGTTTCATCGAATCTTCGATTTCTTCATCGATGTCCAAGCCTGTGTAATTGCGACTCCGGGTTGCTAAAAGCTTCATTGCTGATAACATACACATATCCACATCACAGGACAATGTCTTCATATGGGTTGGAAGATATTTTTGGTGTACCCTCAAGTACCGTCGTAACTGGTAATATGTGTTTTCTACCAGTACCTTCCATGCCGCGACGTGTTTCACCTTTTCAAAGGCTGACGTCGACGTTAATAGCTGGAAATAGTCTGCCAAAGTGGTGATATTTTCTTCCATTTTTTTATTCATTTTTTATTTAAATGTTTGTCCTCTTTTAAAAAACTTTTTTATATTGCCTTCTTGGCTTTTTCTATTTTTTGCTTTTTTCCAGTTGGGACTTTGATGTCCTCTTTTCAAAATGGTATGTTTTTCTTTTATTTGGGACTTTGTTGTCCTCTTATCTCTTTTTTTTTAATTAGTTTTTTTTTTTTTTTTTTTTTTTTTGGTTTTGCCCCTATGGCGTGTTTTGTAATTTTTGCCCTTCGGGTCTTTTTTGTAATATGTTTTTTTTTTATTTTTTATTATTTTTTTTTTTAATTCTGCCTCTATGGCATTTTTATTTTTGCACTATGGCTTTTTCAAATACTTTAATCCCTTCGACGGATTTTTATTGGTAGCTATTCTCCTCTTTTTTGAAGAATAGCTACTTCTGCTTGTAGTGAGTCTCTTACCACTGGTGGGGGAAAACTCCTACTATTTTCTTTTTGTGGTCGCTAATTCGTTTCACTTTGACAAAAGTGAAGGCTCGATTGACCAATGAATGAGAAGAGAAAACCAACCGAATGGGCTGGCTGTTGATTCAATTCTGTTTTGGATCCTGCTCGGAGGATCAATGTTTTTAATGATAAGAATAGAGTCCAATCTATCTCTTCGATTGTCAACTCTATTCTGTTTTCGGCTCGACTGGAGCAATATTTAGTGAGAAAAGAAACACGACCGCTTCGTTAGGGTGTTATTTCAATTCTCGATCCGGCTTGAAGGATCAATGTTTAGATGAGAAAAGAAAACCAACCGAATGGGCTGGCTGTTGATTCAATTCTGTTTTTATTTAAAATATTTGTTCCTTACGTACTACTGAAACTAATCTAACTTAACCTAGTCGCAGCCACACAATTGTTCTTATCTATTCTAATATTGAATGGAGAACATTGCAGGGCTGCTTTACATTTCATTCAAGTGATCTTGTGCATCTACTGAGCGCATCGATATCTGTGCGTTGTTGCAGGCCGTTCACATGCGGCGCAAAAAGGGAACAAATATATGGGGCCGTGTTTTTTGGCAAAACCTGTCCACAACCACCGCAGAAATTATCCCAATTCTGTTGGTAGTGCATCCCATAATTGGTCCTCAAATGGATTTGCTCAGTTTTCCTGGGTTTTTAGTGAGGATGCTTCGAGATTTCAATTTGCTTCTAATTTCTGCGGGGTGTGTAGTCTGGGTGGCGATGGGATCAAAATGCCGGAAATGGTTTGTTAGGGTTCGCTACGTACGAAATTAGGCTCGAACAGGGTTGAGTAAAGAGTATTATAAAGGTAGTAAATGACAGGGTGACTCAGGCTAAGAAGTGACTAGGCAGCCCTATGATTGCTGAGTAGGTGGGAACCTACTATAAATATGATAAAAATTTTGTTTAGACACAATTGGAATGAATGATTATGAAAAAAAAGCGGCACGTTGAAATAAAAATTTAAGAAATATCAGAAGAATAGAAAAACAAAAGATTTCGAGAGAAATAATTAAAATGTTTTTGCTAATGTCTCGCTGCCGTATAAGGTTAAAGGAAATTGGCGTTGTTTGGGCGAGTTGGTAACGTATGTGAAAAGGGTTGGGCGAATAGTTAGACAGCCGTTGATTTTTAAATGAGAGACTCAGGGGTGAGGTGAAATGAGAATTCACAATAAAAAAAAAAATGGCTATTGACAGTTGAAAAGAAAAAGGAATGAAAATTGAAAATGGTTCAGGAAAATGGTGTTTCGTGGAAAATGAGCGTCTGGCGGGATTCACTGAGAAGAGGGGTATAAAAGGCTGCGAGCATAAGAAAAGCCAAAGTTGAGAATAAGACGTTACCGGTGAAACTTAGCTAGAGAGCAGTGAAGAAGTGGAAAAATTTAATTTGTGTGTTGCGATTTTTTTTTATTGTGTAAGTAGTTTGTAACAGTGGTTTGTTGAGTATTGTGTTGTTATATGTGATGTGTGTTGCTCCAACAGGAATATTCCGGTGGTGTATCAAGCCTTTTTTGGAAGCACCGAAAATTGTCCGGTTTTGGTCAGCACAACGGCGGGAAATTGCCTTTTCTTTTTGGTAACGCAAGGTAGTGGCAAGTTGTCCACAGGAAAAAAAAGCCAAAAAGTTACATTGAGGGTGTGGAGATTTGAATTGTAAACTGGCCAGCTGCAACTTTGAGCTTTTTGCTGTGCCGGTTATTGATCCCGCCCAGAACGCCGGCATTGTAAAAGGACCAGTCAACAAGTCCAGCTTCATTTGAGGGTTTGCCTGGCGTTCAAAATCTGTTTCCTCCGGAAAGAAGCGTAAACTGGAAGGAGAGATAAGAAGAATTAATCAATAACGTTATAAATCACTGCTCAGGTAAAAGGTGTCTTACCGTTGTGTTGTCCTTGATAGATATATTTATATATATATGTGACGTCCATAAAATTTGCTGTCTCCTTTTTTGGAACTAAAAGAAAAGAAAAAAAGAGTTAATAATCATAAATTTCGAGAAAAAAAATATAATATTCAGTATAAAGATTTAGTAATAAGATAGGTTATAGTTCTTAGGATTTAAGTAATAATCAGTTTGTAAGGGAAAAATACCGCGTTTATTTTCAAAGGCTAGGAGGTGTTACAGTAAAATTATCTTGAGTCCTTGTGATTCGATCTGATAGTTTAGGCCGTGGAATTTTAGCGGCAATTAGGCCGGTTAAGAGAGCTCTTTTAGGTGGCTAGTAATTTCGTATAGACGCGTGAATATTGCGCGGGAAAAGCAAGGCAAAGGATAATATATTGGTTTCTACCGAGTAATTAAAGCCATAGATTTAAGAAAGCCCGGTATTATTCTTAATTTGTTTTTTTTTATACCATACAGTTTGTCAATTTTAGTGTAAGAAAAAAAATAGTAGAGAAAAAAATTAAGAAAATATTTAAAGCTAACTTATTTTTTTTAATAAAATTAAAAATGATTCTTTTGTAAACAGTAGATACTAATATGTGTTGCTAAGTTTGTATAGCTTGGGGGGAAGGTGGTATGAAGTAAGTGTGTGATTCGAAGCGTGTGGCTCAAGGGGATTCAGAGAAACGCAAGAAATGGAAATACTGGATCCAGGTAGGGTGGGCGAGTGTGGGATCGATCCACCGAGATCCCTGTATGATGACTCCTATTTTGTATATCGTAGAGTAGAGCAATTGTAGTAAAGTCCCCTTTCAATGTTAGTGTGTTGGATTCGATTGGCGGGTTGAGATCCCTAGCCCTGGGAGTCTCTGTGACAGTCGGATGGCCTAATCGTATGCCGAGCATATGCACACATAACAGAGATGGCGCCCAAAATTCTAAAATAAAGCTTTATTGTACCTGATACCACTGTCAAAAATGGCGACTCAAACATGGCCGTGTTAAACTGTGATATTAGGTTAGTAACTCTGTGCAGTAACATCGACGCACACAGCCATAGAATGCTAGTAGATTTTAAATAGACAAAAGAAAATGTTTTTGACAAATAATATTCTGTGATATTAGTATGCATCCGAACTTTAGAGAGATGGGTTACGAAGTGCGATATTACTATATCAAATATATTATGGGAACGTTTTCTCCACTGTTCTAAGTAGGGTGTAATCAATAGCTTGTAATTCCGAGCTGGAATAAAACAATTTGTATTGAGAATCCTACTGTTAAAATTTGTTTTTGTGAAATAACCCAAATAAATTATAGACAGGAATAAGTACATCGAGTAGCAGCAATAGCGATTTTGATCTGAGAGATGCAAAAATCTTAGTATTGCATATAAAAACCCTGAGCTTTCATTTATGAAATGTAATAGATATGTCAGGGGTCCGAAGTTAACAAAGCACTATAATTTATTAGAAGAATAAGAATGTCTAAGGGAAGAGTCATACACCTCATAAAGGGCACTAAATTATTAAAAAAAAAATAATAATAATAAAAAAATAAATAAATAAATAAAAAAAAATAAAATAAATAAAAAAAGAAAAAAAAAAACCACACACACACTGCTTCTGAAAATTACACTTCCCCCGTAGATCTATGTTGTAATTATCAAATTTGAAAATTTGTATGTGTAATTGTAATTGAATGTATTTATAAAAAGTATTTGTGTTGCAAATGTTTCATATTTAAAAAAAAAAGGTTAACTGAATTTAAAACTTACTTACAAGAAAAGGTTTCGTCCGAGATTCAATTGATAACAAATGAGAAGATAAATTTTGGGTATAGGTCATGATCTACAATACCCGCAATAGTAAAAGAAATAAGAGAGACAGACCCGAAAATTTTGACCTAAACCGATCGACTTATTTTCCAGAGCAGAGTAAGCAAAGACGAATAGGGTCGGACGAAATGGCGAATGAGGATAGGAACATGAGTGCTTTGCAATTTATCGATCTAGCAGACACGATAATGCGAAGAGATCAGAACACCAATCATGTGCCAACAGTGAGTGATAATTTGAATAATAATGGTCCAACTACTTCCGACTTACATGGACTAGTACAAGATGAAGCAGCGTCTGTCCAGAAGTCATTGGAAGATAAAGTTAAAAAAATGGTCGAAACAGAAATATCTGATGTGAAGAAAATGATAGATTCTTTATCAAAAGGCATGAGAGAACTATCCGACACTGTGCGTAACAATTAATTGTACCCCCAACGGCCACAGTAGCCTCTAATTCTATTACAAATAGTAATGCTAATCCGACGTCAAACAATAATAATGACGCAGTAAATAGGAATATGCCACCAATTATCCAATTTCCGAGTGCTAGTCAAACTCCATTATCAGATCAATTTACTGGCCCGATAACGAATACGTTTAGAGTGGAACCACTAGGAATACGAGTTGATAAACTTGGTTTAAATTTCAGTGGTGACCCGAAAGGCTTAAGAGTTATGGATTTTATTAAGCGGTTAGAGATCATGCAGGCTCAATATAACATTCCATGGTCTGAAGTGTTGAGGGATTTCGCCTTTCTGGTTTCTGGTCAAGCCAGAGAATGGTATTGGCTGCATAGACAAAGTAATGTTTACACCGATTGGGTGGGTCTTAAAGAAGCGCTGATAAGCCAGTATCAAACCCCACAATCCAAATTCGACATACTCAGGGATATGACTGATACGGGTCCCGACTACAAATTCAACCCTCACGAGTTAACAAATGATCAAGAGAATCGATTAAAATGCATAGTAAAAAAATTCAAGACCTTTGAAGAAAATGGGCTAGGTTGTACTAGTTTAGAAAAGCATTCGATTAAGCTCGTGGAAGGTGCGGAACCGGTTAAAGACCGCCACTATCCAATGTCTCCAGCGGTTCAAGCTATCACGTACCAAGAAGTCGATAATATGTTAGCACTTAATGTTATTGAGGAAAGTGAAAGCCCTTGGAGCAATCGTACAACTATCGTACGAAAGCCCGGAAAAAATCGTTTCTGTCTGGATGCTCGAAAGTTAAATAAGCTCACGGTCAAGGACGCATATCCCCTGCAAAACATTGAAGGAATACTAAGTCGCATTGATGAAACTCATTACATTAGCAGCGTGGATCTTAAATATGCGTTCTGGCAAATCGAATTAGACGAAGAAAGCAAGCCGTACACCGCTTTTACGGTCCCAGGTCGTCCATTGTATCAATTCCGTGTGATGCCGTTTGGATTGTGTAATGCTGCACAAAGGTTATGTCGACTGATGGACAAAGTCATTCCTCAACGACTCAAGGAGAATGTCTTTGTGTACCTGGACGACCTGTTGATTATTTCAAGTGATTTCGACGAGCATCTTCGTCTATTGAATGAAGTAGCCGATTGCCTTGACCGAGCGAATTTAACAATCGGGTTAACCAAGTCAAAATTTTGTTTTCGTCAGTTGAGATATTTGGGTTTTATTATTGGAGAAGGCATGTTGCGTACTGACCCCGAAAAAGTAGAAGCAATTCGAAAAATTAGAATTCCCAAAAGTGCTAGGGAAGTGAGAAGTTTTCTGGGTACAGCAGGATGGTACCGAAGATTTATTAAAGACTTCGCGTCACTTTCAGCTCCCCTTACTGATACCCTGAAGAAATCGCCCAAATTCGTAATTACGGAAAAGGCAAAGGAGGCATTTGAAAACTTAAAGAGGGCCTTAACTTCCGCACCGGTGTTACGCCACGCAGATTTTTCCAAACCCTTTTTTATTCAATGTGATGCTTCGGAATATGGCATCGGCGCTGTTCTATTTCAGCTGAATGCCGAAGGACATGAACATCCGATCGCTTTCTATTCGAAAAAAACTCAATAAGTGTCAGAGAAATTATAGCGTGACAGAGAAGGAATGCTTGGCGGCGGTGATGGCTATCAAAACTTTCCGTCCTTACGTGGAGCTAATGGAATTCACCGTGATAACAGATCACGCTAGTTTACAATGGCTGATGAGTCTAAAGGACCTCAGTGGTCGTTTAGCTCGCTGGTCATTGCAACTTCAGGGATTTAACTTCAAATCGAGCACCGAAAAGGAAAGGAAAATGTTGTCGCCGATATGCTATCCCGCCTACCCAATGCCGACGAAATAGACATGAATCGAGTTTTTGAATTCGAGACCACCGAGTTTGAAAGTGATTCGTACAAACAGCTTAGAGAAATTATAGCAAATAAAAAGGAGAATCTCCCCGATCTAAAGATTGTCGACAATATGGTATTTAAAAGAGATCACAAGTCCTATAACCCAGAAACACAAGAGTTTCAGTGGAAATTGTGGGTCCCAGAGTCTTTGACCCATTCTTTAATAGAGCAAGCCCATGATAAAACTACGTCAGCTCACGGAGGCATATCAAAAACCATTTTTCGTTTAAGAGAAAAATATTACTGGCCTCTAATGGTATCCCAGGTTAGGCAATATGTGTCTAAATGTACTGTTTGCAAAGAGACAAAGCCTACCAATGAAAATACTCAGCCTCAGATCGGAAATGAAGTCGTGACAAATCTTCCCTTCCAGAAACTCTACGTTGACTTCCTCGGGAAATACCCCGGTCTAAAAGTGGCAACGCCTTTATATTTATAGTGGTGGACCACTTTAGCAAATTTACATTTCTTAAGGCAATGAAAGAGGCAACAGCTTCCAATGTGGTAAAATTTATGGTTGAGGATATATTTCGTAAGTTTGGCGTACCCGAGACGATACATTCCGACAATGGGGCACAGTTCGTATCTAAAACTTTCAAAGACATGATTGAAACATATGGAATCAATCATATCCAAACAGCTCCATATGCTCCGCAGTCTAATGCATCTGAGAGAGTCAATCAATCAGTATTGGCGGCGATTAGGGCATATCTAGAAAATGACCACAGAGATTGGGACCTGTATCTAACAGACATAGAGTGCGCCTTAAGAACATCGATTCATACTGCAACTGGTGTAACGCCATTTTTCGCGCTGTTTGGTCATAGTATGTACACCCATGGTTCAGATTATAAATTAGCTCGGAAGCTCCACTCATTGGCGGACCATGAAATTATACATTTAGATCGTAACGACAAGATGGAACTAATCCGAAATAAAATTAGACAGAATATGCATCAGGCTTATCAACAAAGCGCAAAAAGGTATAACGCAAGGGCTCGTACGATTATTTCTCTCCGGGTCAAGAGGTATATAAAAGAAACTATGTTCTTAGCGATTTTGGGAAAAATTTTAATGCTAAGTTTGCCCGGAAATTTACGAAGTGTCGTATAGTAAAGCCCATAGGAAATAATATGTATTCTCTCGAAGATCTAAATGGAAAGGCGATTGGAATCTGTCATGCAAAAGATCTTAAAAGATAAGTGGAAAAGAAAGTCTTTTCAATCCCCTTTCCCAATTCAATTTTTATAAAAAGAATTCTAAAATAACTCTCAAAAACTATTTCACATTTGTTACCAATTCTATATCACATTTATCAGCAATGGTTTAATTCAAAATCGAATGAATCAAAACAAAACATAGAAAATGTGTCTGAGGAAACTAAATACGATAGTAAAATCACCTTCGTACTGAATTCATTCGTATTAAGGTTCAAAAATATCAGCTGATCTGTTCCCCTAATTGGGTAATTCAAGTTAATCAGACTCTAGTTTCACGTTTATCACAGCTGTCTAATTTCTTTTACAAAATATTCTACGCGACATACAAATTTGAAAAAAAAAAAAAAAAAATGTACTTAAACACCCCCGGTGGCGATAAAATAGCACAATCTGGTTATTCCGGCATAAATTAATGAAAGATTCCCATACATAAAAAGCGAACATACATAAAACTACATTCTACCAGACAATCACGTAGACACCACGATTATGGTATTTTTTTACCTATCAATCACATCAGCATATACCGCATACAAAATCCGTTCTTCGGCAACCACGACGACAAGACAGGCATAGGCACAAATATTTCCGCATGCAAAATGTTTCACCACCTATTAAGGAATGAAAGTTATTAAATGTTCAAAACAAACGAAAAAGTACCGCAATACATTGCTAGGGCTATGCCCGCTTTCTGTCAAAATACTTCAAAATTGTATGCGACAAAATGTTTTGATAATTGTTATTTTTTGAATGCGTTATTGAACGCACGGATTTTTTTTTCAAAAAATGTGATCAAAACTGTTTAATCCTTCAATTCCAGGACAAAACAGGGTAATATTTTGAACGCCGGCCACGCAGTGTTCGTTTTTCCAAACATTGACCTTGAAATATTTTTTTTTATTTTCAAAACAAATAATACACAATAATGACAGAAGTCGGGCACACTTGGAAAAAAAAATTGTAATCAGCTTTTAGCTCTACCTTACCTTTTATTGTACCATGATTTCAATAATTTGATCAAATATTTGTGTATCAAAGTACGTATAGATTCCAACTTTGAAGATTATATCCATAACCAAGAAGAATGTGTGAAATTTTGATGGAATCGGAGAATTTTTCATTGAGAGCTGGTGGGTATTACCAGTGTAGATCCGCCGGAGAGGACAAATATATTCCAACTCCACACAAGGTCTTGGGTTGATAGAATTATTGGGTTGTTCCGGATGTTTACCTTTTGTAGTGAAGGTCCCAAAGGAGTGGGCCGATAAATCCCATCCGTTCCTCTGAGCTTGTTTTAGTAGAAATACTGAATGCGGGATTTTATAAATAACCGAATGTGTATTGTAAAATTTATAAGCGTTTTTGATCTTCCCAAATGTTGACCGGCTATAGGGGAATTACCAGCGGGTTTCCCGGACTCGGAACTCGATCGATGTTTGGTAGTGACACGATATTTTCAGGGTGTCGGATCGAGAATTATCAGGCGAACCAGCAAGACATGTTTCACAGATCTGATGGACAGATTAGAAAGATAAATTAATTTATGTGGTTCTATTTCGATGGGGGATATTTACCAGCATGAGGGGAGGGCTTTGACCAGCCTGCTGTTCGGAGCTTATGCCCGGCATGAGACCTTCAGGGAGTGGGATGTCCCCACGTAAATGAGTAATGCGGCCGTGCACATCACCTCCGTCCTCGATTTTCTGGCCGAAGTTGAAGTTTTGTTGCAGGCCGTTCACATGCGGCGCAAAAAGGGAACAAATATATGGGGCCGTGTTTTTTGGCAAAACCTGTCCACAACCACCGCAGAAATTATCCCAATTCTGTTGGTAGTGCATCCCATAATTGGTCCTCAAATGGATTTGCTCAGTTTTCCTGGGTTTTTAGTGAGGATGCTTCGAGATTTCAATTTGCTTCTAATTTCTGCGGGGTGTGTAGTCTGGGTGGCGATGGGATCAAAATGCCGGAAATGGTTTGTTAGGGTTCGCTACGTACGAAATTAGGCTCGAACAGGGTTGAGTAAAAGAGTATTATAAAGGTAGTAAATGACAGGGTGACTCAGGCTAAGAAGTGACTAGGCAGCCCTATGATTGCTGAGTAGGTGGGAACCTACTATAAATATGATAAAAATTTTGTTTAGACACAATTGGAATGAATGATTATGAAAAAAAGCGGCACGTTGAAATAAAAATTTAAGAAATATCAGAAGAATAGAAAAACAAAAGATTTCGAGAGAAATAATTAAAATGTTTTTGCTAATGTCTCGCTGCCGTATAAGGTTAAAGGAAATTGGCGTTGTTTGGGCGAGTTGGTAACGTATGTGAAAAGGGTTGGGCGAATAGTTAGACAGCCGTTGATTTTTAAATGAGAGACTCAGGGGTGAGGTGAAATGAGAATTCACAATAAAAAAAAAAAATGGCTATTGACAGTTGAAAAGAAAAAGGAATGAAAATTGAAAATGGTTCAGGAAAATGGTGTTTCGTGGAAAATGAGCGTCTGGCGGGATTCACTGAGAAGAGGGGTATAAAAGGCTGCGAGCATAAGAAAAGCCAAAGTTGAGAATAAGACGTTACCGGTGAAACTTAGCTAGAGAGCAGTGAAGAAGTGGAAAAATTTAATTTGTGTGTTGCGATTTTTTTTTATGTGTAAGTAGTTTGTAACAGTGGTTTGTTGAGTATTGTGTTGTTATATGTGATGTGTGTTGCTCCAACAGGAATATTCCGGTGGTGTATCAAGCCTTTTTGGAAGCACCGAAAATTGTCCGGTTTTGGTCAGCACAACGGCGGGAAATTGCCTTTTCTTTTTGGTAACGCAAGGTAGTGGCAAGTTGTCCACAGGAAAAAAAAGCCCAAAAAAGTTACATTGAGGGTGTGGAGATTTGAA